AATTATCTAAAGAGAATACTTTGATACTACTTTAGGTTATATGACGAACGGTCAAGTTTTCTCGAAACATATTTGTTGAGGTTATTAACGAAGACTTACCATAAAAACCTTTCACGCTTACAGGATATTTCTTCGCAGGTATGTTTGCAGTTATAAGTCAACCTACTAACTATCCTTTTTGTTTTTGTTTTCTTTTTATTATTCGTTTTCTGAATTTTGAAGTAGTGGCTAAGTAGGTAAAACGAAAACAGTCATTAGTAGAGTGTTCGCTAATACGCTAATACCTCGACACCGAAGGAGGGTCAGAGACTTATTAGTGTAGTTCACCCTACCTACTTCACTATTCCCTGTAGCATACTAGATAACAATTATCTAAAGAGAATACTTTGATACTACTTTAGGTTATATGACGAACGGTCAAGTTTTCTCGAAACATATTTGTTATGTTTCCTATATTTTCGCGTATAACGTGAGGAATACATAAATAAGCTTCGGACGTAATATGAGTTACAACTTTAAGATATTTTTGTTTATTAAATCTTTTATAAGAAATTATTAAATGTTTGACCTTAGTGTACATACATAGATATCTAATTAAATATACTAGAGACGTGTTTTACGCGAAATAAACTTAACTATAATCTTTATATAATGTGTTTTACGCGTTTTACGCGAAATAAACTTAATGTATAATCTTTATATAATGTATTTACGCGAAATATACGAAATAATTTCAAAATAAAAATTGTATTTAAATTGATTAAGTAAATAAGTTAAAAATTTTAAATCTTAAAATCCGTTCCTATCGTAAATCTTTAATATCTCGTCTCTATCTTAAGGATCTCAAGCTTATTACATTGATGTTTACTAGGACATGCTATTTATGCGTTTTATCTACACATTAATCATTATAGGACGGATTTTTACAACTACTATCCCATTTTTTTCTTTTTTCACACTCAATAGAATGCACAATCTCGATTGGATATTAACTAACTAAAGTTTCGCGTCTCTTATCGATTAAACATCGAAATCTGGTAACAGAATGAAAACTGTGTAAGTTTAAAAATAATTTGTTTTAAGACAATTACTTCGGACGTAAACTCTCGTCCACTCAGTATATGTAAGTCTAATATAAAACATTATCTGAATAGGTAGTGTTTCGAATGAGTCAAATCAGATCGGGTTCGGTAATGTATGACTCGGTAGTAAGTCGGATCAATTTTAGACTCGCAGATTGTCGGGTCAGAAGGTTATTATACATTAAGTTCTATCAAACATTTCAAATATCAAAACCATGGTGAATTATTTAGGATAAATACTTATTACTACAGTACTTTACCCTTTGAGTTATGAAATTTGACCGTATGCTAACTTTATGCTATCTGAATTTATTTAGGATGATTCTTCAAGGAATGTGATCCATACATATTTTATTAGAAGGTGCAGTCTTCCTTGCCGGACGATTGATTACTAAGAGAATTGATCTATTATTGCGAGTCAGGGATGGCAACATGTCTTTGATCTCGCGGTACTTTCGGGCAGGGGTTAGATAAGTTTACAAGGAGAGAGGATTTGGCAAGTTTGTGGGATTTGGGAGAATTTATTGGACAAGGCAAATTAGGTAAGTATGAGATTTTTATCGGTCTGAGTTCCATTCTCTTTCATTTTAAATAATTTAAATTTTTATTATTTATATAAAGTCGTCGGACATTAGAAAATGCGGAAATGACCACTTTTTCTGCTCATTATCTCCCTTTAAGTCCTACGCTTTGCTTCGGACAATCAATAAAACATAGCCTTTGAGATTGCGTAATATTTGTAATCTCCGCTCTTTCTCAAAGTATATAAAACCGTAAACATGACAACTTAATACGGGAACGACGATTTTACTATTCTGAGAAATATGTCAACTAGTCAAAATACCCAATCAACCAAGACACTGGAACCATCTCTTTAACATCCACTTCCGATTTATTGAGGACCGATGAACTGAAAAGATATCGCAAGTATTGGTGGAAAACTGGTAAATTGCACTCGAAGGCCAGGTGGGAAGAAACAATGTAAGTTATTTTATTATTTGCTTCAACAACTTGGCTATTTTACAAGCTAATTAACTGCTTATTGTTGACCATTGTTTATTGTCAAGTTTGCCATATGAGCTTGTTACTGAGGTATCTTATGATAATAATGTCGAACATACGGATAAATATAATATTCACAGCTGGTGGGAGTGGGAAAATGGAACCGTCCGTGTCATTGAATTACCCACAAATTTCACGAGCGAGAAATTACTTTAGCAACTGGTGCACTAACTTCGACATTCTTGGTGACGGATCTACAAGTGGGTTTTCTTTGATACTATTAGCGCTAGCTAAGTTATCACTATTATCCTTGGCAAAAATCAACGAAACTCCTAGAACAGGCAAAGAAGCGGATGCATCATGGTTACCAGTATCGAAACCTCGATTGAATGGGGCGGATGTAACCCAAGCGATGTATTAAAGCTATTGCTTCCTCATTTTATTCTTTAATATTTACAATATTAGTATGACATTATTTTTAGTCTCAGCCATGGCCGAATCTAGTAGTAAAGGTTGCATACTCACAATCTGAAGTGGGATGTCAATAATAAAGTCGAGAAATATCGGTTTCAAGGTGGTCGAGCCCATGATGCTATCGCAATTAAAATACAGGAACCTATCGCACCAGCTACAAGGCCTTCGGTGATGACGGTAAGAAATTACAAGAATTCGATTTCTGCTCAATTTCTTTAGTAATGTCCGATTGAACATCTATCGGTGCAGTAAATCCGACGATCTTATGTTTTATTTTTATATGCTTTTAGCAAAGTTAAATTTGTTTAAGGTATCCTTTTATTTAGTATGAATTTGGAATTGTTGGCCGTGGGGGAAATGAGATCAACCTGCAACCTGGGCAATGCGTTATAAACATTCAACTATCATGCCTCTACCATAGGGTACTAGTTAATGTTATTAATCCGCCACCACCACCTCTTCAGCTTCCTCCACCTAACCCAATAGCTACTGTATCTAATCCCATTCCCATTTATCTATATCATGTTCAGTTTGCTATATTAAATAATTAGGTTCTAATACGCTGGGCCAGCAAGTTTCATTTAGTTTTTTTCTTACATAGTCGTGTCACTGAATTTGCTGTAGCACTTAAGACACACTGTGCAAATACGTTTAATAATCCAAGGATATTTTTTTAATAATATGAAAAAATGCTAGCTGGCTATGTAAAAAATGAAACGGCTAGTGGTTGTTTCAAGGGAGGAATTAGCCGTCCTCTGGACCATAAGATGGCAGTTCTTTCCCACCATTCCGCACTACTTCTTAGTTCTCATTAATTTTACTATCTTGATATTCTTCTCATAAAAGCCTTAAACTGTTATTTTCTTAATATTCCCACACCTTGTTGATCGGATTCGTCTTACTGAATTCATCGGGTAATTCAATAACATCGAATCATTTTCATTTATTGATGTGAATTCGAATGCAATTCTACCAAGATTACTGTTGTATATTGTATTAACGATTTCTTTTTCCTGTAAGTATATATCTTTCAAATTTCCACCTTATTTTCGCCCTACCTAATTTTCTTTTGGAATAACAAGTGTATTGATATTTTATCTGTTGATTTTATATATTATGTCTAATGGTTATGTCTAAAAATCTATCATGGTACATATTTAGCATTTTGATAATACATACTGTAAATGTGCCACCTGGTCGATATAGCCATTTAATTACAATATTTTGGATTATTTTAGCTGAATTTATTCGTTTTGATGACATGAACAAAATATCCGCTGAATATTTAATACTGCTTGTTTTATGATAGATGGATGCTCGAAACCAATGATAACATTTAAGACATAATTCTGCTAAACTCTGTGTAGATACAGTGTGTTACAAAAAAAAATGGTAATTATATTTTTATTTGTAACTTAACAAAAATTATTATAAAAAATTTAAATATAATCTACAGAATAATTTTACTTAAAATTACTTTATTATTTATTTTATTATTTAATTTAATAATTTAATTTTTTTCAAAAATTTTAAATTATACTTTTTTAATTTCTATTTAAATTCTGTTTAAAAAAAAAGTAATCTATATTTATTTTTATATAGGTTTTGCTTTTTGAATAAAAGATTTTGAAAAAGTAAAATAAAAAAACAGATTAATAAATTAAAATAAAAATTTTTTTTAAGAAAATATAAATATAAATATAATAAATTTTTAATTAAAAATTTTAATTAAATTTATATCTTTTAAAATATAAAAATAAAATAAAAAAACAGATTAATAAATCAAATAATTTTTTTTAAAAAAAATATAAACATATATATAATAAATTTTTAATTGAAATTTTTAATTAAATTTATATCTTTTAAAAAATTTTAAATAAATACTTATTTAATAATTGTAAAAATTTCAATTATGAAAAAAAATTTTGCTATTTTTTTTTGCAATATATTGTTTTTTTTATTTTTTTTTTTATTGTAGAAGAGCATTAAATACAAAACTTTATTTAATATATATATAATATCCAGATTACATCAAATATCTTTTACATAGTAAAATATGTAACTTAATGTTAACCTATCTACGATGCAAACTATTACTACCCTTGTTACACTTAATGTAACTTAGATTAGTTCTAGTGCTGGATGGTTAATGCCCTTCCAAAGCTAATATGCTAGGACTTGTGATTTGAATGAACTAATTAAATTTGTGATTTGTAAGTTTGTTAAGATTGTAGTATCATAATATGGATTTAAAATAATTATGGCTGTTGTTACTGATTGGATTTTGAATGTGCTGCCTGAACCTGTGAAATCATAATGGCAATTTGTTTGGTTGTAATTTTGCTGATTGGGTTAAGGGCTAAGTAAGACATGTGAAAAGCCCAGAATTTTCACATGAATATAACATTGGGGTTGTTGTATTGGTTAAAAAAAATGTTGGGATTGTTGTATTGATTAGGAAAAATGTTGGGGTTGTTATGATTAAAAAAATCATTGGAGTTGTTATATTGTTAAGGAAAATCGTTGAGGTATTATAATATTGTATTATGATTGTTGTTGTTGTTTTAAACAGGCTTAAACTGGTTTGATTATTGTTTTGTTGACTTATTGATATGTGATTGGTTGTTGAGTATGTGTAGATCGTTTGGAGGGGTGAAACTGTTTTTGATTTTTGTAATTTGTTGAGTTTTTGTTGAAAATAAGTTGATACAGCAATGTGTATCACATAGAGGATGGTTGAGAAGATTTGATTAAGACAAGTAGGAGACCCAAGAATTTTACTTAGGTGTGTTTTTAGAAGTATATTTGTAATGTTAGGAAATAGTATAGAGATAGTAATGGTAGCATATGGATAGAGGGAGGCATATAAAAACAAAGTTATAAAGGAGGACTGCCACGGGCCTTTCCTTATGCAAACAGAGAACAAGCAAAACTCTCAAACTTGCTTGATCTCTGCCCAGAGGTCCCATCCCGATGCAACAGTGGTCTTTAATATTCTTGTATCCTTAAACTTATGGCATATATAGCATAAAGAAAGCGTGAAAAGTACTTTTTCAAAGAAAATTACCATAAAAGGAAATTTTTCAAGAATCAGTGGTGAACGGGTAAGAGTTTTTTTTTTTTTGCAATATATTGTATATGGTTTAATATATTATTTTTTATAAAAACACCTATAGAAATAGTAAAACATTATATTATTGAATTTGATTCAAACATATTAATTTAAAAATATAAAAACTTTTATAATATACTGTATTTAGAAAATAGATTAATAAAATTAAATATATTTTAACTTGAGTATAACTTTCACTATCTTTTTTTCCTGCTTTCTTAGATAATAATTCTTTATTAAAAATAAATTTTCTGAATAATAAGATCAAAAATATTTAATCTTTTTAATCTATTTTTATAAATTTTTTTTGTTTTAATATATATAATAATAGTCTATATCAATATAAAAAAATCAAGTCTTATTTCTATAACAAGGTTTTATATAACCATAACAAAATTATATATTATAGCTCTAGAATCATTTGTTCTACAAATATTAGTTTATTTAGAGTAACTATACTTTTTAACATATAAACAATTATAATTTTATCTTCAAATACTTTAAATTCTATAAATAAAAAAGAACTAACAAAACATATCATTTTTTTGTCTTAATAAAATTAAAGTAACTCTACTCTTATATTCTTATAAAAATTTATTTGTTTTTTAAATATTGTATTATTTTTAAATTTATAATATATAATACTAAACTTATCTTTTATAATTTTAGCAATTTTTCTTTTATAAATATTTTCATTTATGAAAACTGTCTAAATTTGAGAGCACTATAAATCTTTATAATTTTTATTTCAAATTTCATATATATTTAAAGAGTTAAATAATAACTATATAATTTTTCTTAGGTATAAAAGTTTATAATAGTTTTTCTTCTAATATAAATTTTTTATCACCTACTTCTTTATTATATAATAATCTTTTATTATATAGACTAAGACTGTTTTTTTATTATATTTTGTTTCTCTGGAGCTAATGAATAATTTGAAAAGAAATCATTTAAGTTTATAGAGATTTTTAAATCAACTTTAAACATATATTGAATTTCTATATCTGAAACTATATTTTGAATATTAAAAATTTCTTCTGAATTTATCTTTTCTAATATTTTTATAAATATATATATATTAAATTATTGCACCTAATCAATAGACATTTATATCTTTATATATACAAAATTTTAGCTTATTAGAATTATAATCTAAATATTGCAAATTATTGTTTTGTTATTATTATTTTTTATGAATATTATTTTCAACTATTAGATACTTATTAATATTTGTTATAAGCTTGAGTTCAAATTTATTGATTTTATATATTGAATTATTGAATATTTCTGATACTAAATATAATAATATAATTTATAAAAAAATATTTGCAAGTAGAAATATATTAAACTTAAGATAAAAATCTTAATATTCTTTAAAGTTCTTTATTTTAAAT